CGCCCGCAGGGGGTGAGCGGGGAGCCCTGGTTGCGTTGCGGGCGGTGCGCCGCGCTCGGCCGCCTCGAGCCCCGGTGCGAGCCGCTCGGGGCGGGCGGATGGAGCGCGGATAGGGGCGAGGGCTTCGTCGGCAGAGGAAACAGCGACAACAACCAGCGGGCTCCCAGGAAGGAAGCGGGGCTGAGTTCCTCGTTGGGGGAGGGGATGGGGAAGAGCTGCTGTTACTGCGAGGGTGGCAGACATGCTGCGCTGCCGCGTCGCACGCTGAAAGGCAATGAGTCACGCTTCAAAGCGGCGGATTCTTGAAAAAAAAACGCGTCCTTCTGCTCCGCTTTGAGCTGTGCTGTTTTGCGTCGCAGCGCTCCGGCATAGGGCAGAAGCCGCGGGAGTGAAGCATTGCTTTGGCTCCGTGGCCCGGAGGCTGTCCCCTGTCTGGGACGCGGCCGTCCCCAGTGCTGTCCCAGGAACGGGGATGCTTGCAAGGCTGCGCGGCTCTGCCGTTTAAAAACCTCGCGATAGGGATTGAGAAGCTGTCTCGTGTCGGTGATTTTATGCGGTGGTTTTAATCTATGCAAAATAAATCTAGAAAAGTGGATGAAAAATACCGTTCCGTTCAGAGCTTATCAATCTCAGCCTTTGTCCCAGTGCTCATAGCTCACACAGAAGGTCAAGCAAAATGTGCTTTCCCGCTTCTAAGTCAGACTTGTGTAAATGGGGCTTATAATGAGTGGATTAAGAGTAATAAAACATTTCTGTCAGGCCGCCACGTCTTCTTACAGGGAAGGGTCACTGCAATAAAGCTGCCCCATTCTGCTGTGGGCCTTTTGTTTCACAGTCGGTACAAAAATGGATGTGTGGGGCTGTTTTCTGTGTAGAGCTTCTGCTTGCAAAGAGGTTTTTTTCCACTCAGTTTGAGAAATCTATCTCAGCTTTTTGCATACCGGTGCAGCAGCACTAGAAAATTCTCTTGCATTTTTATTACTTACAGTAGCAAAGCCCTTGCTGCAGGAAAATGCACTTTTTTTCCCCCAAAGCCTTGATCTGACATCTTTAATACTTGAAGAGTATTTCCCAGCTTCTAGGCTTGTTTGGAAATAGTGTGCAAACATTCGGCCAGTGGATTTCCTCTATTTTTGTGCTGAATTTCAAAATGTGGTGAAGTTTCAAGTTGAAAATAGTGCTGACCCCCTTTGTGACCCAGTCGCGTTGGTTTGACTTTGTATGTAAATGCTAAATATCTCCTTTTTTCTTTCTTTCCTTTTTTTTTTTTTTTTTTTTTTAAACAGGGTTGTTTGAAAATTCCCTGCAGTTTTGGAAGTTTCCCCAATTTTTGAACCCAACTGAATCAGCAGCATGCTTGCTCCAGCCTCTGACCCGTGGAGCTGCATCCCAGAGGAAATCCTCATCCAAATTTTCTATTACCTTTCTCTTCGAGATAGATACACAGCCTTCCAGGTGTGCAAGCAGTGGGCTGGGGCTGTTTCTTCCAGCTCCGTTTGGCATTTCACGGAGATCAGGTATGAGGAATGGGTTTCTGAAGCGTGAGCATCTCTGCAGGTGTAACAAGAGCATCACGTATCAGAGCGTGTTGAAGATGTGCAGCGCTGTGCTGTGACAGCTAATTGATGTTAGCTGTGATTTGTGTGTGTGGCTACATTTCTTGACTAGCATTTCTTTATGTAACAGAGAAAATGGTGTTATGCAGTGTGGGCTTTTATGTTAACTGCTGATGATTTGGGTGCCACGGGAAGTATTACATTCTCAGGTAAGTCCCTTCAAGTTGCTCCTTGTATCACCAAGAGACAAAGTTATTGGGTTGTCATCCTCATGGTGGCACTTACCTCCCCAGTGGTCCTTCTGGAGGCCAACTCCTCTCTCCCCCTCACTCGGTCAGAGTTTGGCCTTACAGTGACTTGCCAGGCATCTAGTGAGGAGAAATGTGTGTCATCTGTTGGTGTTTGCCAGAACACAGTAAAGGAGAGAATCTGCTCTGTGTTTGCTCGGTTTACCTTCCGCAGTGACTGACCTTTTGTTTTACCCTTCCAGCTGTGATTCAGAGGATGAGGAGGGCATGCTGCAGAGCCTGTGCCAGTTCCTCAGCCAAATCAAACACCTGAAGATCAGATTTGACCAATCCAAAGAGGTCAACCGCAGGAACGTGATGCGCATCTTGGATGTGCTGGCAAAGCAGAACCACAAGCTGCAGCAGCTGTGCATTGCATGCCATGGGGAGAACCCCTATTTCTACTCTGGCCAGGACATCCTGCGGAGCATACGGAATATGTGCAACACTAACACCCAGATAGATCTTCAGCATGTTGATTTTCGAAATATGCCCTTTACTCTCGATGGGGAGCTTGTTGAACTCCTAGCTGCCACCAACCCAAACTTACAAAGTTTGTTCATCAACAACCGTACCCTGGTGTGCAATGTGGCACCAAACACCGTTAGGAAAGTTCTCAGTGTGTGTCCCAAACTCTCAGCCTTGGGGGTCTACTATGCCAGCCTGTCCAATGATGTATTTCTGGAGCTGCTCAAGCCAGAAAGAGCAGCTTTCACCCACTTAGACATTTTCTGTGAGCGCCTGGACAAATATATACCAGTCATCTCAGAAGAGCTGTGGGCTGCTGTCAGGCAAAAACATCCTCGACTCTGTGTAGACCTCGAATTCGATCATACGGTCCCTGGCTGCACGATACCACGGATCCTAAAGCAGAACATACCTGTGAGCACGCTGCAACTGAACACCTACAATTACATGGTAGATCAGATCAGGTTTATCACCCAGAGCTACAGCAGTACTCTGAAGAAGCTGACGCTCCAAACCACATCCTCGGAGGACTTGAATTCCTCGCTAGTAGAGCTGGCGAGGCACTGCCAGAAGCTGATGGAGATCCACTGCTACTGTGTGGTCAGCAAGGAGGTGGTGGAAGCGTTCCTCACGCACTGTCCCTGTCTGAAGCAATACACTCTCAAGGTCACCAAGGAACGGCACCCCTGGAAACCAGTGGCAGTTCGGTGACCGGATCACCTGTTCAGCAGATGAAGCATTTGTTCTCAAATGTGATTGGTCAGTGGCCATACAAAGAAATTGAATTACCTATTTCTAATTTTTTTTTAATGGAATGGAGAGGACAAGTCTTTTCTCTTCTTTGTGTTCTCTATTTAGCAATAGTGGGAATGCCGTGTTCACCCTTTGTGAAGTTTTACAGGAAATCACACTGACATTTAATTTTTATGTTATGTTTTAAGCATATCTCAAAGTCAAGCACACCGTGTCAGGCACCCAGCAACTATTTAGGCAGACACTTAAGGAAACAACAGCTTCAGTGCAGGTGTTCTGTGTCTGTTGGGGTCCTTAGCCACATGAGTTCACCTATAGTGACAGGCAGTGGTCATCTGATGGAAAATGCCCTCCAAACTTGATATTTCTCTTCTGGCAATTTCTGTGATGATGAGCTCTCCTGGTATCCAGCTATCAGGTAACCTCCACTTTGTAATGGTTTAAACAGGAGCTGAGTTATGTTAGAAAATGTAAGCAGGACGAAAAGCACTTAAGAAAGAGCACTGGTAAGGTCAGAAGAAAGACACATAGCCTGCAAGTATCCTTCTCTGTCCTTTCTTTCTCAGAAATGCACATTTTCAGGTATTTGAATGCCTTTGGCAAAGACCTATGCTTTCACTGCATTGTTAATGTTTCTTAGGAGAATCAACAGTGTTTACAGTTTTTCCTGTCTCAGTCAGCAGCAAATGGCTCTGAGTTAGGATGAGCATGTTGTGTGGTTGTGCCAAGGATTCTGATGAGCTGTGATTTGAAGAGTAGATTCGGATTTTAAATGGTCCTGGCATAAAGCTCCCTTTGCAAGCAAATATTTAGAGCAATCTAAAGGATTTTGAGTGATAACAATAAAGCATGTTTTCTCGCAGTTACGCATGTAGCTGTTTTCATCCGCCACTTTTGTCAGCCAAGAGCCAGACCAGCTGTCCTGGCGGATGAGACCCGTAGCCAAGCCAACTTACAGTTCTGCCTTTTCAAACCCTTGATGAAGACGTGCAGCTCTGGGCTCTTGGCCAGGCTGTGCTCACCTCCACCGGCCAGCTTTGGGGCAAGAGAATTCCAAAATAAAACTACGTGAGCGCTCAGACAGAGGCGGTGGCAGAGCCGGGGCGTCCCGCAGGCTCCCAGCGGGTGGATTCAACCCGCAGCCTTGCTGACCTCCCGGTGCAAGGTGCACAGCACGTGTTCCCTCTGCATGACGCTGCGTATTTATTCACAGCTCTGCGAGATCGGCTGTGGTGCATTTTCATTCTGTGTATTGTTCTCTGGGGCTGGTGATGCCATTGCATTGTGCTGAGTTTTTACGAGGGAGAGCGGCACTGCTGATGTGACTCCCAGGAGCCTACTTTCTACTGGCCCGGGATAAAATTCAGTGGTTCATTCTCTGTCGGACACACGCACGTGCAGGGAGGCTGGCGCGCTGACAGCGATGGGGTCGGTGTAGCCGGGACACTGGAAAGCTATGCAGGATTCACCCGGCTCCCTGGTGATGGATGGCTACTCCAGCAATGTGCCTGCCTTCCTAACCAAGCTCTGGACACTGGTGGAAGATCCTGAAACAAACCACCTCATCTGCTGGAGTACGGTACGTGCAGCCAATGCTGGGTTTCACTTCGAGTGCTGTAAGGGGTGTCTTAGAACAGAAGCCTTTAAAAAATCCAGAGTCTTTAGGAGAGAAAAGTTTTTCACCTTGCTTCAGTTCCCCAAAGTTTTCTGGAAAAGGTGCAAAGGTATTAAAGGTCTTCAGTGATGACTGGTTGATTTCACAAGCATCTCTTAGCAGCCTGTGCTATGGTAGCAGGCAGCAGGCTGCCATAAGGAGCCCTTGGACCACAAGCTGAAACACAAACGGGTCTCAGATTGGCACTTCAAATTGCCCAGCGTTTTGGAAGAACTTCACCTTTTCAGCTAGTTCATGTGATGGCTGTGGTGATGTGTGTATTTGTCTGTACCACTCCTCTAGTGATAGATTGCTTTGGTTTGGCTTCTTATTTATCTTAGCTCCTATTTATCTCATCCTTAGCTTTAATTTACTTAAGTGCAATCAGTGGATAAAAATGATTAATTTGTCCCTCTCATGAAGTGTTTTGAAACCGCATTATGCTTTTGACCTGAGTAAGGCTTGCTGCAAATGGTGCTGTGATTTGTCTCCAGCGTGGAGCTATCAGATCAGTTGTGTGCATGAGCATGGCCTCTGAAAAAAGGCATCTGTTACAAAAGCAAATTTAAAGGGGTTGGGGAGAAAAGCCTGAAGCAGTATTTTTGCCATGTGTTTGTGTCCAGTGCAGCTTTCATTCAAAACCTGAGATGGAATTTAAGTTGTGTTGTTATTCAGGGCTTTCTGAAGTTGGCAGTACATGGCCACTTGGAACCTCTGTGTTTTAAATAAGGACTTTTGAACTAAATATTAGTATGTATAAGCAGTCCTCTCTGTGTTACATGTGCAGTATTCCTGATGTCGGTTTCAGGTCAGCTGTTATTTTGGACCTTCCATCGCATGCTCTGCTTTCCTGCAGCCAGACAGCAGTCTTCTTGGGTAAGGCTTCTAGATCAGAGAAGCATAGAATCAATTTAAGATTGGAAAAGATCTCTAAGATCATCTGCAGTTGTCTGAGATTCCCACGTTGCATCCTTTTCCTTGTCAGTGCTGTTAGAGCTGAGAGGCTGCGAGCTTTGCTAAGATTTCTGGATGTAATCAGAGCTGTTGATAAATAGGACCCGTATGGACAGAATAAACTGTCACATAGCAGAGGGTCTCTGCCCTGTGGGTCTGTCAGAACCAGTTGGGACAACCATCTGCCAAGACTGATGGGCAGATTGTTAGTCAATCTCCTGAGCACTCAGTGAGTTTTGTTTCTGCTCTGTGTGGCAACGATCAGTGAGAAGGACCCTGGTCAGAGGGCACTGTTGAGGCAAGAAGCAAGGCTGTGCATTGTGAGCATGCAGGGTTAATTGCTAGAACAGGCAGAAGGGCCTGAACACAGCAGGAATTGGCACGGTGTGCCAGTGGGGTGTGTGGTGGGTGGTGGGTGCATGGCAAGACCAGGTGAGAATGCATTGCCAGTTCTTCTGTCCCTTAAGAAGGTGATGTGGATTTGTGTTTGCAGAACACTTCAGGGCAGCTGCAGCGCAGTGTGTCCGCCAGGCAGGAGGTCAGCAAGGGAAGGCACGTGGGCTGCAGTCTCAAATCCTAGTGATGCATCCTCAGAAGCAGCACTTTTATCAAGTTAAAATGCATGTTGCTAGCCTGAGCTGTTAAAGCATAACTGCTAAAACCTTATGCCATATTCAGCCACGTTTGTGGCTGCCCTTGTGACTGTGTGCTTTCCAAAATAACCCAGAGAAGGCGTGTAGAGCGTCTGCATCAGAGCGGTACCCCCAAGGATTTCACGCTTTGCTGTGTTCTTGTGCCATGTCTCCAGGCACTGCTCCCTCCAGGGCTGCTGTGCTCTGGAGCAGATGGTTCACAGACAGACCTGTGTCAGCACCTTCATTGACTGTAATGGTAATTTCCACTTTCCAAGACCTTCTCTGGACACCAGAGTGTTTCTGTGAGGTGCACACAAGAAAGGGCAGCAATTCTGAGCTATGAGCACTTGGGATGTAAAAGATTTTTTCTCACACCTGAGGATCTGAAAAAGCAGTCAAAAAGGATCAAAAATGCGTCTGTGCCAGAACTGAAAGGGGAGCATCATTCACTGAAAGTTGTTGTCACTCTTTGCAGCTTCAAGGTGACAGAGAAGAACTCGTCCTGCTGTAGGACCCAAGGGAACCACCTCCTCCTGGCCTCCTCCTGCAGTCTTCTAACTGCCTCTGTCCTTACTGCCTTTGCAGAATGGCACCAGCTTCCATGTGTTTGACCAAGGACGTTTTGCCAAAGAGGTGCTGCCCAAGTATTTCAAACACAACAACATGGCCAGTTTCGTCCGGCAGCTGAACATGTGTAAGTTCAACCCACGTGGGTCTCGTGGGATATGGGGAGAGCGAGAGAAAGCAAGGCTGGGATGGGAAGCGTGGAAGGGAATTGTAGATAGAGATATTGGGAGCCCACGTATGCACGTCACTGTGACATCATTGATTTTGCCAAAGAGGACATTCCTCTTAGACCCCAGGAAAGTGAAATTCTTGTGTAGGAGATCTATAGATTCTTCCATAGATGCTAGCATGATATTTCTGTTAGATAAGCTGTGGCTAAGAAATTTCAGCTACCAGGTTCTCCGCTTTCCTTGATTGGTTTAATTGCCATATGGGGATTTTTCTGGCAGCTCAGTACCGTGAAAGCTCCCTCAGAAACAGCTTCCTTTGAGCGTAGTGTGCCCCCAGCTTGTCTGTTTTCACAGTCATATTGCTCAGCTAAGGTCGGACAGCATTTCACCCAGCAAGCCATGCTAACTGGACACATTCACCGCTCAGCAGAGGTTTGCACGTAGCTGTTAGTGACACCTAGACCATGTTTGTATGAAATATGCATCTTCTCCGATAGTTTTCTGAAGTGCTACTTTCTTTCAGTCACTACTCCGTAAGTTCCTCAGTAAAGTTTTCCCTTTGCAATTTAAGCATACTGTGAATACGATGCCAGTCTTGAGGGGGGGTAGTGTGATGTAGAAACCCTTGCAGAACTTCAAAGAGGTATCCAACGTAGATTTCCCTCACTTCTGGTGGAGGCTGGGAGGAGAGCATGGGCCCACTGACTCTTCACCCCCACCCTTTCCACGCAGATGGCTTCAGAAAGGTGGTGAACATTGAGCAGGGGGGGCTGGTCAAGCCCGAGCGGGACGACACTGAGTTCCAGCACCTCTGCTTCCTGCAGGGCCACGAGCACCTCCTGGAGCACATCAAGAGGAAGGTGAGGGGCACTGCGCTGGGGGCTCTGTGACTGAGACGTGTTCGTTGCGTGCATTCTGCCACAGCTGCTTTCCTCTCTTGACAGTTCTCCAAAGGCAGATTTGTTTTTTTCTGAAACGCAGCCTGGCATGCTGTGGGCTGCTTGGCGTAACTCAAACTTCACCTTGCAGTGTGGTTTCCAGCCTGGGTTGTACATTCAGCTGTGACAAGGGTCCTGTGAGCGCAGGGATTGGCTGTCACCAGCTGTTGGTTTGTTTTGCTCTGTTGCCCAGTGCCACAGATCTCTGTGCTGTGCAGCCAGGCTTGCTTCTGACCGTTCTGGCATTTTGAACATCATCTTTTTCTAGAACAGTATGACACATCTCTTCCTGGATCCCCAGCACTCCCCTCCTGTTGCTTTAGAGGCAATAAACTATTCCTGCCACCTGTCTATTGTCTTCTAACTTGTTCTTAGCCTCCAAGAAGGGCTAATTGACTTCAAGAAAGTAACCTATTGACTTCAGAAAGCAACTACAACAAAAACATCCTAGAAATCAAAGTGTAATATGTCAGTTACAGTTACACAAAATTGAAACAATTAATCAAATGACCTAGTTCAGCGTGTTCCTGTTCCTCAAAGTGCCTTTTTTTCCAAGTTGATTTGAAATGCATGCCTAGTGGACAATATCCTACAATATCCTACTGCCAACTGCCCTCTGTATGGAAGCACTTTTCCTGCTCTTTGCTGCATTTTATCTCACTGGCCCTTGCAGTAATACCCAGACTCTTGTGAACACATTGCCTCCCTGTGTATGCCAGCATACCAGTCTGGCTCTGGGAGTCCTGCCCCTGAGCCACAGCCATTGCTCTGTCTGTCCACAGCCCTTCTGGTGCTGGTGAAGCCCACTTCTGCCTTTTTCTTCCTTAGGTGTCAGTAGTAAAAAGCGAGGAGACCAAGATGCGCCAGGAGGACCTCAGCAGGTTGCTGTATGAGGTACAGATCCTGAGAAGTCAGCAGGAGAACATGGAGTGCCAAATGCAGGACATGAAGCAGTGAGTTGAACCCTACTTGGGCTGCTTCTTTGCAGGCATTTGCTTCTTGAGAAATGGTCTTGGGGAATGCTTGAAAGGAGGAGCCTAGCACAGCTGCCTCCAGGGGAGCACATACTGAGCTAAAAATCTTCTCTTTGCTTAAATACCCTAACTTTGAAGAAATGAGTTGGTGTTATTTATGTATCTTGTTAGCAGTAAGTACGAACAGAGCAAATGCTGATGCAGGAGTGTTACCTTCAGAGTGCTGCAAGAGGACCTGCTGCATCTGAACAGCTGACCTCTGGTTTGGTTGGAGGGATTGGATCTGCTGAGATGATAATTTGTGGATTTCTGTGCAGAGCTCCCAGTGAGCTACAGCACACAACCTAATCGTTAGCCTCTCTGTCTTCTATGACAGGTAGACATTATCTCTTCATCCATATTTTCCCTTCACAGATGAGATAAGCACAGAGGAAGCCACACAGGAAGGAAGAGTCTTGGAGACTGACACAACTGTGTTTCCTCCAGATAGAAGTGAAGGCAGAGAGAGATATGTGACACAGTGTCAAACCTAGGAGGGTCTTTGGCAGAAATACAGTGGTACCACATCCAACTATTTAAAGTCAGAAATCTATCACTGTTATCCTCCACATCCAGTACATATGACCAGACAAAAGAATGTAAGGACACAAAAGCAGCTGAAGCATTTACATCTCTGGGCCCCTCTCTTTGTTATGTGGGAGCAAGAAAGGTGTATGCTGCACTTCTTCCATGTGGTCGCCTGACCTCCCAGCCACCTGAATGCGATAGCTCAGCCTTTAATCCTTACTCAATTTATAATGCTTCCCACACTTAGCATGTGTGTGAAATCACGCTATGAAATCCAGGTACAGTAGAAAATAAAAGAAGTTTTCCTCTAGGCTTGTTTCTTACTTAATTTTAAGGAATTCTGTCAGGGATTCCTGCTATATAAGCTACTATATAGGGGTAGCTGCTTTGCTATTTCAAGCCACAGACCTTATCTTCCCAGCTATAGCATCAGTCCACATTAGGAAGACTATTACCACCCAAAGGATGTAAAACGAAAGTATTTATAAATTGTACCTATATGATAGGTTTTGCTGGCCTGACAGTTTTTCTTGCATTCATACACTTGAGATAAATTCGCTGGTGAAGCCATTTGCAGCACAGAACTGGCAGGGATTCAGAGTTTGGCCCAAAAATTTCACAAAGGAACCCAAAAAACATGCCCTCCTACTATCCTCCCATACATGTGGTGGCTTCTCTTTACTTGCTTCTCCTCCAAATTTTGGTCTGTAGTTCTAAAATTGAGGAAAAACAAGGAAAAGAATCGTGGCTATGGCTGGGACATTTGCAAGTACCCAAATCTGCAGTGACCCAAAGTGAGACTTTGCTGAGCTGGGTGCTGTGCAGCGTGGCAGCACCGTGGACTGTTGGGATGTTTCTGTTTTACTTTCAGGCAGAACGAAGTCCTTTGGAGGGAGGTTGTTTCTCTGCGGCAGAACCACTCGCAGCAACAGAAGGTGATCAACAAGGTAGTGATCATACAAACCACAACTCACGTGCACTGCACAGTGCGTGTCCTCCTCTGATTTTTCTTGTCCCATCATCTTCTCCACACTGATATCACAGTGTCTGTGTTTTCCTATCTTTCTAATTGCATGATGTTCCTACGTGTCCCGTGGGCAATGGTCACCAACAATGCATGGAGCAACTTTTGCTCTATGATTTTCATTTCACTGCCAGGCCATGCTGTGATGTTAGAAGTCACTATTCCATTCAAGTCTTGAGCAGGAGAGCACAGCCCTCACTGCCTGCCCTGTGTGATACCGTCTTTGTTCTGGTGGTCTTGGCACTGACTGCTCTATGCAATACCATCCTTGTTCTGCTAGTCTCGATGCCTTCAGACTTCCCAAGCCTTTCCTCCCCATGCTGCTAGCACTGCAGCAGCAGAACTGGCTAGCCCTTTCCTCAGTGGCCACCTTCAATATTTTGACAATGTAGAGGAGCTATCTCCCTTAAACTCTAGTGTGATCTGCTCTCCAGTGGTTCCAATACGGTGCTGACGTGACTGTGCATGTCACGTTTCTCAGTGCCCCCGGAGCCACATTCTGACCCTCACGTGGCATCAGTCATAAGACTAAATGGAAATGCACGAGGCCGTCCAGCCTTCCTCCAGCTCTGAGGCCAGACCAGCCACTCTGCTTGTTGTAGAGGCATTTATGCAACTCTGTTTTGTTACATTTAGGAGTGAGTAAGAGGCAGCTGTGGTATATCATAATAATGCTCTCTTTGTTAGGAGGTCAAAGCAGAGCTTTAGCTTGAGCTGACCTGGGAAAACGTTGCTAAGTGATTCCTCTCCAAAGCCATCCTGCATCGTACTTGTTGTCAGTTCTATCAGCACTGAACTTCACAGGGCTGAAACACTCAACCAAAAGGACAGAGACCTCCCTCCAGGGTCCAGGATGTCCTATGGGAGGTTTCTTCTTTCCCTTGCAAAGACCTTATTAGATTTCATGGAGGGCTTTGAAGGAGCCAAGTCTCACTCCAGGCCTAGGAATCGCACAGTCATAAAGGTTGGAAAAGACCTCTAAGATCATCTAGTCCAACCGTCCACCTAGCACCAGTATTGTCCCCTGCCCATGTTCCTCACTGCCATATCTCCATGGTTCTTGACCACCTCTGCGGATGATGACTCCCCCCAAACCTGGGCAGCCTGATCCATTGTTTGCTTGCGTACCTCCACATGCACGGTGCCCTACTGGATCGGGCTCCATGAGTTCTGCATGCATTGGCATGAGAGCTCTGAGCACATGCAACCTGCTGCCTTCGTGCACAGTGGATTAACATCCCAGAGTCCTGTTTCAGGCTTCCTCCTGCAATTTGGCTCCTATATTTCATGGCTGCTCCTGGATTTGGAGTGGTGTCAGGAGGGAGGGATGTGTGAGGTGGGAGTGAGGAGTGCTGAATCACTGCTGATTAACACTGGACTGTGATCTCTCCTGACAGCTGATTCAGTTTCTGTTTGGCCAACTCCAATCAAGCCCTGGCAGCGCTGGGATAAAAAGGAAGCTGTAAGTACCCTGGTGTGGGGCGTGCACATAATGCTGCCCCCTCGCTAAAAGCACAAGCTCAGCTCGTGCAGGCGGGTGGTCACTGGACCGGGCACCATGGTGATGGGGAATGAATGGGCTGAACTGCCGAGTCAGACCTGCTGACATGCCCCATTCAGCGGCCTGTAGAGAAGCACTGTGTCAGCTTATGACCTCTGTTTGGGAAAGATGGGAACAGTCACCGATGGAAGAAGAAAGGGCAGGGCCTCCGTGTTGGTTGTATGGGCAACTAATTTCCCACTGGAAATGGAAGCAGGGCTGGGCAGTTGTCATAGACCTCTGCTGTGAAAAAGAAGCAAACCATTAGTGAGACTGTTCTGAAAGGGGCAGAAGAGCACAGGATGATTGGCACAGCAAATGTGTTGGCCTAGCACTGATACAAGCCGGCTGCAGTTTGCACAGCGCTGTGCTTCTGCTTCCTTGGAAACACTAAGGTCTGTCTCCAAGGCGTCCCAGTGCAATGTACGTGCTGGTAGCACTGTGAATACCTGTGCATAAGGCTGCAGAGCAGAAGTCCAGAATGGAAAAATATATAATGTTGCTGAGGCATAAGGCTTTCCTCACTGCAAGTTACAGAAATCTCTTAAGCTTGTAAATCGTTTCAAAATTATTTGTGCAGACAGGGGTCCGGGGACTCTGCGGGGGGGTATCCTAAACTTCAGGTTTGCATTCTCTGCAGCCAGCTCTGACTGTAGGGACAGGTATTGCTATCATTTCTTCCTTATGTGGGAAAGAAGTTGTGCTCTGTACATTTCACTCTCCTCTTTCAAGTAAGATCTGTAAGACCCAGACCTTTTTTTCTCTGCATGGCTGCTAAAGGCCCTTTTTAATGGTGATATCCTCTGCTCCCCTTCATGCTCTGTAGCACTGAACAGAGGCATACATTACAGCTGAGGAAATAAAGAGCAGCCAGGAAACCAACCCTTGGCTCAAGGCTGTTGCTTGTATGAGCAGCCAGGGACTGGCTTGGTTGGTACATACTGGGACAACAAACCTCTTGTTTCTCTTCCAGGCCTCTGATGCTTGACAGTGGGTTATCAGCTCCACAGGTGTCCAAGTTCAGCCGGCATTTGTCTGCAGACGCCCTCCATGATGCCTATTTCATACAGTCGGTGGGTGTACTTCGGGGGGTTTCTTTGGCCATGCAGGGAGGAATGTCTGAAGCAATAGTATGGTTTGCTAGAGTAAGAGCTTGGCAAGAGTGTGGCAGTGAAGAAGAGAAGAGGTTTACAAAACAGAGTGGCATTCTTTAGGTCCTTGCTTGGGCAGGAGTTCTGGAAGATGGATCTGGACAAAACCAGCAAGCTGCCTTTCCCCTTCTTGAGCCCATGGAGAACCAGCTGACTTACTTCTGCTCTTTACTGCCTCAGCAAGAGAAATCTGTTTTCCTTTGTTTTCCCCTTAGCCATCGACAGAACCCGCCTCCTGTCTGCACAGCCCTGCGATGGCTGCAGGACCCATCATATCTGACGTTACTGAAGCATCACCATCCAGCGTAATAAATATGCAGTCCCCTCCTGATAATGACAGGTAAACGTATTTGTGTGTAAAACCAAAGAGAATGGGGCATACGGGGGCTTGTTGAGAAAGTTTCCTCTTAGCTTTGACAAGGAAGCAACCAAATCAAACTGTACATCTTTCTGCTAATGAGAACAGAAGGGTTGCATCATGACTTCCGATGCTTGACATCTTTTCTGAGAAGAAGTCCCAGCGACTTGGGAATTGAATGCAGGGGCATTTTAGTGCTTATCTCTTCCTGCCACAGACGTGCAGTGTATTTGGGGCTGGTATCAGAACAGCTACACAACGATGTCAGTGGAAACTATGCAGATTGGTGACTCGTGGAAACAGTTTCTCAGGCTTATAGGCAAGAAACTGATCCTAGGAACTGCCCGTAAATCCACCCAATAACTGAGAACATCACCATTAAAGTTGCTAGAAGCATTTAACCAGCTCCAGGTAAAAAACTGTGTGCTGAAAGGCCTTTCTGAAGCAGAAGGATCTCAGCTAATTTCTGAGTGCCATCTGGCGGCCTCTGATCCGTGCTGTGTCTGTGCAGCTCCTCAGGAGTGTGATGCTGCTGCAGCAGCAATGTGAGCTCCCACCACAAGAAGAAAAGGTGATCTAAAAACAAATGCAGGGGAAGGCTGTGTAGTGTCATATACCATCCCATAGGTGGGACCTTGTTCTTGCACTGTCTCGCAGTGGAGCTGGTGGGATGTAAAATAATACAGTCTGGTGCTGCTTCACATCCCCTGTGCCTGTTGGTCCGTGTGCCATTGGCTGCAGCTGCGCAGCTTCCCAGGGAGCTGGATAGTTTTCTGCCAGTGGCACAGAATAAGTTTTGATGTGGGAGGTTGTAATGTTTGAGCCTTCAGTGTCATATGTGTGGTAGGAATAGCATGGAGTGCCCCCACTGGAAAAAAAACAAACCTCTGCTTCCAAACAAGTGACCATCTGACTGGGGCTGTCTGACCCCAATAGCTTCTGCTCCAAATCCTGACTGGCCACCTGTGTCACTGAGATTTCTGGGTAGCTCACTGGTCCAACGCTGGTTCCAGATGGGGAGGTCTCACCGATCCCATTGCTGTTTTCAGGGTGGAGACTTCCCCTTATCTGTAATCCCTCTCTAGCTAGTGCCTGCTTACCTGTATCGAGTCCAATACTCATCTGAAGAGTGATGAATCTACTGGGGTAAATTCATTATAACCACGACTGATGCAGTGACTGAAGACATTCCAACTGAGCATGTTTCTGATCATAGAATCACAAAATCATAGAATCAGCAAGGCTGGAAAAAACCTTCAAGATCATCCAGTCCAACCTTCCACCTCCCAGCAATATTTCTCACTAAACCATGTCCCTCAGTACAACATCTCAACATTTCTTGAACACCTCCAGGAACGGTGACTCCATCACCACCCTGGGCAGCTCATTCCAGCCTCTTTACAGCCCTTCTGTGTAGAAGGACCCTTTACTGTATAGCACTTCCCAGATATTAGCAGCTCCTGCTGCCCTTCCCAGTGACCTGGAGCAGTGTGTGTGGAGCTAAGTGTTGTCTCTGCCGCAGGGAGAAGTGCCTCATGCTGATCAAGGAGGAGCCAGCCAGCCCCGGGGTGAAGGCCACCACTGAGCCCGATGTCCCGCTGTCTGGCTGCCGGGCCTGCCCCGAGCCCCCTGTGCTTCCAGTTGCCATGGTGCAGTCTGTCCTTGAGGGCAAAGGGAGCTGTGGGGTGGCCCCCCCAGGAACCTCACAGCCCCCTGAGAGGAGAGGAAGGAGGGCACTGCTGGACAGGTGAGGAGAGCTGTAGCCCCGTGTGTTTCACAGATCTTCCCATTATTGGGGGAAAGGGAGGCTGACTTTAATCATCCTGTGCAGCTGGTGAGCTCTGTCCTGCATCCGGGAGAGTTCTCTCACTTGCTGGCTGTCAAGTGCCTGTCCCCTTCATGCTCTGTTGGGGTATATTTCTGGGATTAATGCTGAAATCATATGAATTGAGGGTGACAGTGGGCTCTTGGACCTCTGAGATCCCCAAGTCCAACACCAGCCAACTCCCACCATGCCCATTAGCCATGTCCCATGGCTCCATTCAGCTGGCTGCCAGCTCACACCCCCAGATCCTTTCCCTCTGTGCAGCTTTCCAGCTGCTCTGCCCCCAACCTGTAGCAACGCATGGGGATGTTGTATACAAAATGCAGAACCCACCACTTGGTCTTGTTGAACCTCATCCAGTTGGCTCAACCAATTCAGATGACTTGATGTCATCTGCAAACCTACCAAGGGTGCACTCCATCCCTTTGTCCAGTTCATCAATAAAGATATTGAACAGGGCCAGCCCCAGCACCGACCCCTGGGGAACACTACTCATGACTGATTGCTGGCTGTACTGAACTCCATTCAAAGATATGAAGGTTGCTTAGCTCTGCTTTGTATCCATGCAAGCCTTATCTATGGCAATGTTTTCCCTCATCTTTCCTCAGAACAGATATTTCAGACCCACTGGAGGGCCCCGACTGGAGCCTGGAGGGGCTGCAGCTGCTGCTGAGGAGCCAGCAGTACGGCCTGGAGTCTGCAGGCCTCCTGGATGTGAGTGCAGCCCTGGGCAGTAGGGAGGGCCCTGGTGGGGCTGTGGGATGGGTGGGCTGTGGTGCTTGTTCTCAAGTCGCCCTCTGCCACTGGCTCTGCTCGTTTCTGTTTCCTCATCTTGTTAGGAGGTGTTTTCCTGTTACTGACACACTTTCCTCTGTCGGTGCAACTGAGTGAGAATGAATCATAGAACTGTACCCCAGAACACAGCTCCTTTTCCCACTTGTTCAATTTCTGCAAAATTGATGTGAGTTCCATCGTGGTGTGTTTTTCCAAACAGGTCTTCAATCCCAACTTACCAATGAGTGAGTGCAATTTGTCTGAAATGGAAGCTGGTCTGTCCCCGGTAAGAGATGGGTTTCTGAGATAACACCAATGTAAACATGCAGCAGAATTTCCTGTAAGCAGAGCTCGGACCTAGCTAAGGAAATGCTATGTTGTAGCCAGAACAGAGAGTGTGGTAATGCACACACATGGAAGAAATGAGGAGAAATCCAGTTTGGTGTTATTTGTTGGGAATTGATGTTGACGCACATGTTCCTTAAGTGAATATGGTGATTAAATAAAAAGTGAAGGAAATGTGAGGTTCCCAACTATTTTTCTGCCCTCCATGACCAGAGGTGGATTCTCCCTGCCAGTCGGGTGGAATAAAGATTGAGTGTTTCTGCCATGTGTACAGACATGCAAAGTGCGATCTCTTTCTAATGAAGTGCCAGAAGTCTCTAAACCTCCTTCATGATATCACTTGCCTTTGTAGGTTTAGGTTTATTAATTGAGAATTTAGTAGGTAATCCCATTTCCTGAGGGCCTCTGCAGGGACAGGTAGTATTTGCAAGTCCTGCAGCAAGGGGAGGTCTCTTAAAATGGATTGCTGGGAGGAAGCCGCAGTACTCAGTGCTTCACTCCTCACGTCCACTGAATTTTGCAGCACCTAAGGATGCAGCTCACTCTCATCCTTCTGAGTCCTGCAGAAAACTATGAGCATACCAAAACTGTGAGTAATGTCTGCAGCACGTTGCACCTAGAAGCATAGTACTGGACAGCTGAAAGCTGGTTTTATGTAAAGGTAACCACGAATGAACAAATGGAAAGAAAAACACTTTCTGTGTTTGTTGCTTGCTGTAGAGGATGGTGGGTTTGCTTGGTGCAGCCACAGCAGCTCTAGCCTGGCCTGCTCATGTGATGAGAGCTTCAGTGCGAGTGGGGGATTGCATCTCTATCAGCAGTTGAGTTTGGAAGCAGGGTGGGGAGCAGAGCACACATTGCTGGCGGATGGTACACAGCATCAGTAAGCACTGATTCTCAGAAGCGGCCTGATTCTAACGAGCTGCCCTGTCTTTGTATAACTGTACATCGTAGTTTGTATTTTTGCATCAAGATGCAGCGGCTCACAGTGGATATGGAGAAGAATGCAACTGAGCTGAACTCAAAAGTGTTCAACCCATCGTTCAGCAATGCCTGCTCAGGTAGGAGCACTGGCAGCTCTTGCAGACTTGGGGATGGGGTTGTAATGATGCAGAGCCCAGCACTAGTCATTTGCCACCCGGAGGGTCGTTTCACTTTCATGATTGCCATCAGCAATAACTACTGAGTTATTACAGAGAAGAGGCAAAAATATGGGAAATAAACTGAGATTAAATGTAACCAAATGACCTCTGTTCCTGGTTGGGTCCACATCAAATCTGCATTAATTCTGTTTTCTCTGCCTGTTCCTTACCAGCTAGGAGCAATGTGGCAATCTAAGTGAGCTGTCGGGGTGAAAAGAGCTACATGGGCCCCGTGTTTCCTCTGGCTTCTGCTCCAGGGCTCCCATAGCTGACAGCAGCATCTCTCTTTTCCACCAGACTTTTTTTTTACCACTCCTCAAGAGGAATGTTCAGCTGAACATCCAGCCCCCCTTAGCGATTCTGAAAAAGTGTGTCATTAACTTTTGGTATGAATCCAGAAATGTTTTCTTGGCCATGGAATAGTGATATACTATGATTTTCATGTGTATTTGTTCTGGGCTAGATCTGAAAGAAGGTTCTGTTAGCTTTGTTCAGGTGCCATTGCCACCTGATCCCAATCTGCAGGGTTTTGATGTGTAGTTCATGGACTTCCAGCCTCCACCTTCAGTTCAGCTTGTAAGTTCAGCTTGTAAGCCTCCACCTTCATCTTACATGAACAACGAAGGTATTAATGCCCAGAAACACTGGAGAGAATTATTCAGCAGGCTGGGGCTGAACAACACAAGGGGTGCATCTCCTGTCTGCGAAGCCTTTCTTGTCCACACGGGGTGCGATGCTGGAATAACAAGGCAATTGCTGGAGGTCTCCTATTGCAAAAGCAAGGAAAGCAGACAGTTCCAGATTGAAAGAGTCTCTTACTCACCTCTCAATGTCTCCCGTAAGGCATCTCAGTATTCAGGCAGGACCCACCTAGGCCACCTGGAAAGAATTCCACAGATTAATGGTCTTTTGACTGAACCCCTGGACTCACATGTTTCCGAGCACTTTTTGCCTTGATCAAGGTCCTTCCCCTCCTTGTGCAGAAGGAATTTGCCCCTTTTCAATGCTACTTTCATAAATGCTGTAATGTGCCTTCCAGGGACTGAGTTTTCTGTTGTCTGTTTGTATTCCTAGGGAAAGACGTCCTCCTTGAAAGCTCCCAGCAATTCCTCAATGACCGGCAGTCAGTCTTTGGAAACGACATCATCAGCTTACATGAAAGTTCATCGCTGTATATTCCATCTGAACACATGGCTTCCTATCTGTCCTCCGGGGGTGTCCGAGGGGATATCCCCTTAAACCTGAGCTCTTCGACTGATAACAACCAGTGATGTCACTTCCAAGGCATCATCTCCCTCCCACACACCCAAGCATCCACAGGTTTGAATGTAAAAAACCAAAAGCAACTCAGAAACCCACAAGGGAGTTGTCGTGCCCTTTCTTTTTGAGTAGATTGGAACGGTCAGTAGCTGTTGCACTGCACGCCCTGTCCCTGGCTCTCAGTGTTTCATAGGCTCAGTGGCTCTCAGGATCATAGTCTTAGAACAAAATGCTGCTTCTGGTGCTTGTTCCCACGTGGAGCAGGAATGTGGTGGGAGCTGTTTTTCTTCAAAATGCTTTTACAGGTGTCAAACTTTTTAAGAAAATTGAAGTGAAAAGTAGCTTGGAAGTTCATCGGGACCTCACAGAACAAAGCAATCCCAAGTGGTGTCTGCAGCAACAAACTGTGGGATGTTAATAGGGCAGCGCAGGTCAGCAAAGAGATGCATGACCCTTCTGAATGCCATTGTTTCAATACAAGATTAGTTTTAAGTGCCAGACAAATGCTCTAGAAATACTCTTATTATCTATTCTCTGTTTTTGATGGGATGTGTTTGTGCCTCTCCCCTGTCTTCCCAGAGTAAGCAGGAACATGAAACTCCCTCAGGGTGTGCTGAAGATAGTTTCCTGAGTGATCCCTCCAAGGAGGTGCTTTTGGCTCCAAGGGGAGCTGCAGGCATCATACACCCCACAACATCCCATCCTGAGTTGAAAGGGTTGTTGGTTATTTTTCCCCCAGTTTATCTTCTGCAATGTAGAGGCAGGGCACCCCATGCTTTAATTCTTGTAATAAAGGATGGAGTCTTCTGCACCCACAGTTTTTTATTTCCAAAGAGGACTGGTTTATTCTTGGTTTTTGTGCTGGAGAAATATTTCGTGTCCAGTCCAGTGGTGTTTCTCCTCGGCCTTGACCTTCTCTGTAACCCCTGGAGATGTGCCTGTAGGTTTGTTGATGTATGAAATCTCATGAACTGGTTTAATTGATTTGAGCCCCTTTTTAGAAGGGCTCTCAGCTTCAGGTACTTCCTCAGTGTCCAACAAACGCAGAAGAGTTACTGCACCATGTCCCAGAGACTTTTCTTCTGCATTTTGTGCATCTGAAAACAGCTTCTACAGGCCCATTTAATCTTCCTCTTTCATGTGGTTTCTGACAACTGAGTTTCTCAACAAAGCAGAGCTTTGTTTTTTATTCTGTAGTTTTAATGAGAATGTATTATTTATCACAGTATCCTCTAATTGAGTTGTTTTTCCTTAAGAAAGCTACCCAAAAGCAGTGGGACAGACACAGGAAATTCACCTAACTCAGGCCTTCCAAGGGCTCAGGCAGGGACGTGTAAGCCACGCCAACTCCATTGGAAGAACTGCTCTGCCAACTTTCACTACCGTGTTGATTCTTGGTACTAAATTGTATTCCTGAGTGTCTAGAATGGCCAAGCAGCATCCACCTAAATATACGGTTGATCAGATGAACGTAGGCTCAAAATGTCCTAAATAAGATGTGCGTATTTTAAATGGACTTTCCTGTCACAGCTCTTTGCTCCATCCATTTATCACCGTGTGAGCAGATGGGAACAATTCAGACGCTCATTTTTGCCAGCTGGCTGCTATGAGGGGCGATCATCACCCTGGAGGCACTCTTGGCAGAGTGATGTTGTGAGAACTTTTGAATTAATTCCATCCACTGTTTGTCTGTTCAGGACTAAGGGAAAAACCTGGCAGCCCCCACTGGCCTGGTATTTAGATGGTGTTCTTGAGAATAGCGTGAACAATGTTTCTTTTTTGGCAGATTTGTGCTCAGAGAGTTCATCTAGATCAGGCCCACTTGGCTCTGTACTTTGTCACTTGAACCAATGGAGATCTGTTGAGCTGCAGTCCGGTTGCTTCCTTTCTCATGGGAAGCTGTGTGCTGTCTCTCCTCACCTGACAGGGTATGTTATCCTCATTCAGGATTTATGTCTTTCTTTGAACCTTCAGATGCTCAATTCCTTCATGTTAGCACTGAATGTATACGGGTTCAGTAAGGTGTCTAAGCACGTGCATAACTTCAAACTTCTGAGCAGCTTTCATTTATTTTTATCAAGTCTGTCACATGCCTAAAGTTAGACACGTGCTTGGATGCCTTACTGCAGTGTCCATTTGTGGTTGAAACACAAACCACCTCAGGAGAACTACTTGCAAGGAGGGGCAGCCCGAGCTGCGAGGGGCCGAGGGGCCTGGCCCCACCTTACACTGCAGCACTTCTCTGCGGTACACAGACTGCAAGCACTGTGAGCAGCTGCTCCTGAGTGGTTCCTGGGATTTTCTTTAGGCTTTTTGCTCTACTGTCAACATGAGCTTGGATCCTGATGGAGAGAGGGTAACGTCCAGGAAAGCGTTGAGAGCCACTCCTGAAGAAGCAGGCCGGCATTCCTTGGCTTTTTACACTGTTAATTTACTTGAAGATGACGTGCTGAGACTGCGTGTGTTTGGTGGGTTTTTTTGCACTATGCTGTACATTTGTAAAGTTTTACAGAAAACAATAATTAAATATGCTTCTTTTTTTTCTCATTTAGTCTCATGCTGGCATTTACTCACATTTTCCCCCTTTCTCCTTACTCATCTTCCCCTTCCCATCAGAGGGGACTGGTAAGTGACGATAACATTCTGAAATTTAACATTCACTTGTGAGATGATGCACTGGCTGACCCACTGATGGACTGTGATCATCTGTGTTAAAACTGATATTCAGCTTTGTGAAGACTCCTGTAAGGCTGCTCTAAGTCAGGCCTGCTCTCCGCAGGCACTTGCTCACCCCTTGCTCCTCCTGAAGACCAAGGATTTTCACAGTGTGCCTTTACTGGTGACAAGTGGAAAATGGCCGAAGTTAAAGTAACTGTGCCATCATCTTCCTTCAGGCATTGGCCACAGTTGTGCTTTGTGGTTAGCAGCAGTATTCTCACCACCAGATGGCACCTAAACCTTAATTGCTAATTGCAAGTACAGCTATTCAACAAAAGCGTAGTAACTTTTCCTTGAAGAGAGTATGCCTACAAGGTCTGTTCCATTCTATTTACTACAAATTATCACATCTGAGAAGTCTGAGAAAAAGACATTCAGCTAAACTTGGCTTAACAAAGTCACCTCTACTCCTCACATTGCCACCAATTGTTGATTCTATCACAATGTCAGCTCGTGAAGGTGAAGCCACCTCCATCTTCCTGCCACTTAGCACTGTTCAATAACCACTTTCAAGCTAGGAAAATGTGAGCAAGAATGCCATAGCAGCAGAACTGACCCAGAGTTGGCCATTTCTTCAAATTATTAATTATTGTTATTATTATTACTGTTGATATTGTGGTGTACAGAGGATACACCACCCTCTGGTGATTCTCAGTTCCTTGAATTTTGTTCTCTACTTCAGAAGGAAAGTAAAAAATAAAAGAAGGGGGGTTGTGAGGAAATAAAACCCTCCAGGAGTTGCTGCTCTTCCACTGCACTTTGGCACAAAAACTGTAGAATAAAAGAGAAGCTACTGAACAGAGAATTCCTTTAGTCTGCTTTTAATACCCAATTTATCCACCACTGACTGGCTGGCTATTTTTGTTTCATTTTTTGTCAAGAGAAAAAAAACATTAAAATGGCAGTCGTCAGTAATGTTCCACCACAGATTGCCTTAAAAGGTAAAATCATATTTTCCTTTCTCAGACGTTATTTCTGCATTTGGTTTTGTGTGAACTATCACAGTGTCTATGAATATTTGACCCTTAAAATCTTGGTTTGTCATTAAAGTCTACCCAGTATGACATGTATTGATGATAGGTTACAAGTAGAATATTTATTTAGCTCAAATGACAGAAACGTGTTGCAATATGGATTGAAACTAAGTAATAAACCATAAGTTACAGAAGAAACATTTCTAGAAGGATGCAATGGAAAGGAAAGGACATGACAGAGTGGAATTTAACCTTAAAACACAAGTGCCCTCACTTCTACTGGTATGCCCCAGAGAGGAGCACCTTTGGAAGGGGGAACACGAGGCACTCCTTACCTGCCCTGAAGGTCATGTGTTGGAGCAACATCAGTGCTGAATGACTGAAATACTCTTGTTTGAGGCACTGGGTTTTTATAATAAGTGTAAGGTCTGTTTTAACAAGCAGTTCCATTGCTGAGCTTTGCATCTTGAGAACAGCCATACGCAGTCAGCCAGGCATGATGCTCCAGATATGATCTCTTGTATTGAAAGCCATCAGTCTAATCCCCTCTCACTGCCCGTGTCATCATGGGGTTCATGAGAACACTCCTCACCTTCAGTCAGCTGCTGTACTCCTCCACCACTACTGCTCCCTGTTAAAAGGCAAATTAAAGGCAGGTGAAACTCACTGGTGATTTCTAGTTCTGGAAATAGAAGTGTGGAACCCAGTTTTTAAAAACCATTTAGATTAAACTCAGCAATGACTCGTGTAAAAAAAGAGAATGCTTTAATTTTTAATTCATTAGGATTCCTATGTAAACAAAAAGCAGAGGTGATTGTTAAGTTACATTGTGGACTTACAGTTTTTTGTTTTGTTTTGTTTTGTTTTTTTTCCACAAGAGCTCAACACATCCTTAATGTCAGCACGTATGTGCCACCCATTCTTCTCTGTGATTAATTGCACGGCTGAAATCTTACCAGAGCAAGCAATGGTGATCTTCCTGCCCCCTTCCTGTTGGCTGGGGTCATCTGGCTGACTGCAGACTGATGACAACAGTAGGTTATTAGGAAGTTGGGGGGTAATCTCCTGTACCAAGACTTTACTGGGCTTAGCTGGTTTGTCTTCTTCTGAATAAGAAGGCTCTGTAAAGAATTCTTTAACAAGGGGTCTCAAGCACTCCTTTTCTTGCTCTTTATGGATCTTACGCACATTTGAAAAAATGGATATTGCAGCTTCTCCTACTGAGTCCTCAAATGTGTTTTTATTGCTTTCCTCTAAAGCAGAATCACCATCATTTGTCGTTTCAGAAATTATTTCAATCTTTGGGTGATATTCTTGCTGGAAAGGTAGAAAATGTAATTGAAAATATTACTATGTTAGATGTAACAGCAAGAATAGGTAAATATCACTTGGATCCATACATTATTGCTAGTCTTGATGTGTTTTTCTGTCAAAATGTACAGAAGACCTGCTTCATAGCCATTGTTCTGCTTTTTTTGCAAACTGATCTTGGGTTAAGTATGTCACACATTAGCCATGAGCTGATCATAAGCTACTAATCATTCCTACAAGAAAAGGTAATTGCAGCAATTCAGCAATAGCAATTGCTGAAATCTAGAACTCTTTTCTTTTCCAGTTCACTGTACCAAAGTGAATATGAGCATCACATTAAAAAAAAACAGAGGATCCTAATTGCATAGATCAGAGTAGCATGGCCCTTTGATTTACCCAAGCTGGTTGATATTGAGTCAACCTGAACACGAATTTCTTTTTATATCAGACTAAATAGAAACAAAAACCCAAAAGTACATACTTCAAGAGCAAGTCACTGACAAGGGCAAGAGGATTAATGGGCTCAGATCTATTATATTACCTTAATCATAACAAGAATTTAACTTTGGCACTTCCAGTGCTCAGGAAATGACCTTAATTAAGAGGCAATGGGAACTCAAGGCTGGATTTCTGCTGAAGAATTTATTCTGAAGTGGAGGGTTTGGGGAGTAAAGCAGCAAGACCAAGACCAAGAGGTCTACATTTCACCACTGTGAGCAATGCTTGCATGACTTACTTACACAATGCACTGAACTTTGCTAGGACTTACAGACACTGCCCAAAAGAGGGATCTGACATCTTTAACTAACTGCATTTAAGAACCAAACGCCCTGGGGAGTACGAGAGCTGCCAACACACGCTTTATTAATCCTCTTTGTGCCCTGCTCTATTCCTTCTCTTATCTTCTATTTAACTGGAGGCTTTGTTGGCCAAGACATTTTGCGACACCAGTACAGCACGTAACCAGAAGAGCAAGAGAAACCCATGCCTTACACAAAATTTTACAAGTCCCTCCAAGCTATTGCAGAACTGCATACTCTATCAGCCTACTTCCAGCACGGCAGATATGAGCCACCAGCAGCACAAGAATCAAAGCTGTGCTTTCAATCTTTGTTGTTTTATTTTGCTTCTTCCTCTTCTGTTTCTGCCTATAGTCTTGCCTACCAGATTAATCTGAGCATGGACTAAGTGGGCTGGCACTGCATTGTGTCTCTCTAGTTTAAAGTGAAGCCAAAGAGTTTTGATCTCTGTATTTTAAGTTGAAAGGTTTGCTTTTATTCAGCAGTAGGCCATCTGGACAACCTATTCAGTCCTCTGCAGCTAATTCGTACTGGTGAAGTATACTTTATGAATAATCTTCATTTAAATACTATATTATAAGAAACTAATCTTATTTAACTGTCACATTTCTGGACTTTAGTTTTTCATTCTCCAATTTCTACAAGGCAAAACTTTAAAAAAATCAAATTAAAAGAAAATTTACAAGGGGATAAACAAGATCTGCCTAAACATCCATTTTAGTTTATAAATACACAACTGATTGTATCTCCCAAAACAGCATTTCACAACTGAGATTACCTTCCTTTTGCAAAACATTAGCCAGGCAAACTTCATCAGTGGTACAATTAAGGATCTTACCTTTTGAATAAATATTTCCTCTTCTGGAGGAAATTCCTTTACATCTATGTCTTCTAAATCAGGTAGTTCCTGAAGACAATCACAAAGTCAGTGGGAAAAGTTAGCTCAAATGAATAAAATATGACATCTTCATCTCCCTGGGAATATTTTTAATACAGTGCTGTTCCAGGCAAGGAGCTGCAACTAGAAAAACTGGACTGTCATGCTCTCCAAGATGACAGTTTTCTGTGTTAAACATGTGGGAAACAGACAATTCATCTGCTTCCAGAAATAGTAAATGGGAAAGGGATAAACAATGCCAAGTGGAATGCTCTTTTCTACTATTCTGACTATGAAAACAAAAAGGAAAAAAAAAGAAAAAAGAAAAAGAGGAAGAAAGATGGATAGACAAGAAGACACTAACACGATTTTAAAAGGAAATGTGATTTACATCTCTTGACTGTCTCTTATCTATCAATAGACTTAATCTTAACTGTAATTCATCTTTTTGGTAAAAGCCAAAATAAAATCTTCTGACTTTTTGAAACAATTTCTCAGTAAATTCTGCTAACCTACATACAACTAATAAAACAATGTTTTACTGTGAATGCCATGTAATTAAGGAAATGGAACTGGAAGCTTGCTGAGAATTTTTTCCCTCAGACAGGATCAGTTCTTCCAGGTTTCCATTAGAAAACATTTTCTAAATCACACGCTAGTTGTTGACAATGAAAGCAAAAATGGAGGGTAAAATACAAAATGTCAGGTAGAACGTAATACCTTTCTAGCAATTTCTCACTGCAGTCTAATGCTGGTAAAAGCACCTCCTTTAGTACTATGTTTTAGAGCAGACTGATTTTGTACAGCTATTCACTTGACACAGCAGCATCAGGATCATCTGATCTGCAGGGTCTTGTATGTGAAGACGTGTACAGAAATAAAACAAAACTTGTTTCCTGATGTGGTTGTGCTGGTGTAGCACGTCCTGAATTCACACCGTTTTAGAATGAAAAATGCATGCATTAGGATTGACTGCTACCGAGGTTGGTGTCAGAAGGGAAATAGCTGTTAGTTCAAACGCTGCTGAAGATTATGCATGAAAACCAGTTTGTGCACGTCTGACTTGTTTCTGCTCGACACAGGGACGTCAGATCCAGCGCACTATAAATCTTCCCCTCTCTTCTCACTTGTGTTACTACTGAGACCGTCCGCAGGCTCCAGTATTTGAATAAAGACTACAGACTTCTTCAGAAATCCTAATTTACGGCATCTTCTCAGCCACCCCCTGCTATGTCAGTGCTAAATGCCTCTGGAAAATCTGCAATAGCGTAAGTATTGGAGGCTGCTGCCAGAAGCTCCTGACGTTAAGTATCAGCTGTAGAACAGCATAGCATAGAACACTGAAATGTGCATTAGTATGAGATTTGTTGATTTTTTTTTCCCCTTCTGTAGAATTGTAATATTCCTACTTCTTCTGTGATGAAAGAAACTTCATGTAGGCATGCTGAAGCTTTTCTTTTATACTGTGTTACACAATGGTGCCATACAGCAGCAAGAAAAGAGCTTGTACTTCAGCCCTGCGGGTTCTGCTTATGAAAATCACATTGTATATACTTGAAATTGCTGCCAGTTCTCTCCACTACCCTTGTTAAGTCTATTATCAAAAACACCTGAATAGGAAGATGCAGCAATAAGCCCTTACTGAAACAATGAGTTGAGCTTTACAGTAATAGGATGTTTTTTTTTCCTAGTCATTAAGAGCACAGAAGAGATGTAAGTGACTTTTCTAAAGCATTTCAGTAAGAATTTAGTTAGCAGTGTTGCACAAGAGATATTAACTACTCTGGAAAATCCTAAACTCAACAGTTTGCAGTTGTGTCATAATCTGGCACTGACAGTTTTGCAGTAGGGGTGTAGCTAGAGTATACTGAATAATACTCCTTTGCACTCAAATTGTATTTCTCAGTGGTCACACTCATGTCTTCGTGGCCAAATATGACGAAATGCTTAAATGTTTGCATCATCAGATAGAAATCTTAGAAAACAAGAATACATTAGAAATGCTAATCCTTTACTGCCTACATGAAACATGGAAATATGCTTGCAAGTTTTATTTTGAGAACCAATTATAACATCCAATATTACCAGCTAATATTGACAACAACTCGGTGGCTATGTGCTCCTTATGTTTTTCCTATGATTGTTTCTCTTCTCAAATGAATACTTCATTGGAGTTTTCCTTAGAAGGACATATTTGCTCCCTGGATTCTTTCTATTGTGATTTCTATTTTTCACATGGAAGTCCTTGCTAACTCTCTCCACAGAAATCTCAGACCTAGAAGTTCAACTTCAGGCTATCTAATAGCCAAAGGACAGAATAGACTTTGGTAACAGTAGTAAATTCTTTCCACTTAATTTTTTTTTTCTCCTACTTTTCCTAGTAGTGGACCTTTCTTGGAAATCTGGCCATATACTTTATCTAGCCAGGATGTCAAAGGAATTAATTTGGAGTAGACAACAAGCAAACCAAAATCTGAAAATAAAACCAGAATCTAATACATACACCAAGTCGAAGTTTCTCTGGTGTCTCACATTTGATCTGCTCGATTTCAGCACACTCAGCCAGTTCAGGAACCACAGCCCTTTCAGTAGCTGTCTTCTCTATTGGAAGATCTAAGAAATAGAGATAGCTAGTTGAAGAGAACTAGCTGAATAAAAGACTTTGTGTGCTGCAACAGTGAGCACTGTAGAAGCAAATAGCCGAATCCAGTGCTTTGTCATAACCTTGGTCCCCTTTACATTTCATAAATATTTGTACTTTTCAATAATGCATTCACATATTCATGTAAAAAAAGTATTTTGTGTGTGAAGGCACAAAGCTGTCTCCGAGTGAAGCCCAGCTTTTGCTGGAAGACACACTATACAGACTTGGGAGCAAGGGAAGCCTGTAAGCTCTCCTGTACTGTCATTAAATCTAGCACATATGAGAAGTAGAATTCCAGTTTCATTTATCAGAAGCTGCAGACTGGGCACTCTGAATAGTTTTCTTTGTAATATTAAAATAATATTTTATCCAGAATGACTTGCTTTCCAGCTCATTGCTATGGAAATCTAGTAGAATGTTTTCAGCTAGGAATCAGCTGTTTGGAATCACAGGAAAGGAGAGCTACACTGAGTCTGCTGGGCTTATCATCTGTAGTTCTCCAGTTTGATTTGATTCTTCACTCTGTACTTTACCATCTATCTTCCTGTTGAAGTCTGAGCATTTGTAAGAATTTGATTCACGTGCAGCCTCAGGAATCTTTCCAGATGGGAAGTCAGTATTATCTCCTCTGTCTATTAGGAGCGTTCTCACATCATCATGAGCATCAAAATTTTCATTTCCAAATTTCTCTGTCTTCTCTTGAGGTTCTTGCTGTTCTGATAAATTTGATATCTCTGATGCACTGTAATTTTCTTCGTTTCCTGAATTTGCAGATGCTCCTATAGAAGAAATGAGTTCACTAGAACTGCTGAGTTAATCTGTTGTTACTTATTATAAATATCGAAACTGCATATGGTCGTAATAGCATAGCCAAAGATGCACATCAAAAGCTCCTGGTTTGCTTGAGCAGCTATTCACAAATCAGCAGTCCTCCCAGCACTGTGGCACTGCTGTGGGTTTTCCCATCTCAGTTCCCCTGCAACTACAGTTCTCCAGCAAGATCTCAGCTAGAGAGTGCAATACAGTAAATAATTATGCTGTATTTGTATTTAAATTTGAGAGGACTCACTACATTTAAAATATATGCTTGCACATTTTGATGATCAGTATCATCTACTTTATGCAATCTATCAGCTTATTGCAAAACTTTTACTTGTTAGTCAGCCATGTCTGACTTCAGAGCCTGTACAATGTCAAAATGTACCTCACAAATACTTCTCTACAGGGTAGTACTCCCTTATCACTTGGCTTCAGTCTTGTTTATCCTGAAACATGCATGATGTCCTTGAAAATGTTAGGCTGTGGATTATCAGCGGTCATAAATTTATTCTATCTTGAATAATGAGAATTAGTGGCATAGAAAAGAGCAGTAAGTGAATCCTTAACTAATTAAAGACCTTCCTCCAATTCCTTGTGTTATCACTGTGGATAGGCTCTAAGTTTAACCAGTTAGAGTTAATTAAAGCAGCAGCACAGGGGTACCTGGAAGCGGACTTGTGGTGAATGTGGGGTTGTGCTGGAGCCCCCATGTGCCTGAATCCAGCTCCATTCTGCATCCTGGGGAAATACAGCTTTTGGGTTGCTACCTGCCTCCACTCACCAATACTTACTGCAGCTACTGTGGCACTGACTTGCACCTGCTTTCTCTGGTGCAGAGCACAACAGCTGGAAAAGCTGTGACAAACATCTAAAATATGAACCACAAACCTTCTATGATGTCTGTTGCACCTTCATTTCCATGTTTTGCACCTGCATCTCTTTCTTCTATATATTTCTGTGTCTTCTTTTCCAATGCTTTTTGCCTGATTGCAGCTAAAGCATCAATGCTATCTTGGATTTTTTTTCTCTCTCTAGTTTCCCATTTTTCCCTTTCTGCCTTCTCAGCTTCAAGCCCTCCAACAGCCCAGGCTTCTGCACAGGCTCTATGGAAAAGAAAAGAGCTCACTGTAATACAGCCAAAAAGCTCATTGCTCTGACAGAAGAGAAATTTAAAATAGTTTGTAACAACACCAAGTATTTTCAACAGGGAAAAGGAAGATAGCAATGGCAATCCATTATGGAGCAGGGCTTCACCTGCATCTTTTCTTGCAAGCTGAACGGCAACAAAAGAAATAATATTATCTAAGCATGAGTGGTTACAACACCAGAGATCCATCAGGAGTTGTGATCATGGCTCTGCTTTCCCAGACACCTGCTCAGTTTCTGTTGAAATTATGACTTGATTCTGCAGTCTGCAGACACGTAGAACAATTCTGTAGAACAATTCTGTTCAATACTTATCTTCTTTTTTTTTTTTTTAAAGGTATGTAGCTCTCTCTAGTATAATTCTATTGTAATGAAAGGCACCTGCCTGCAGTAAATTAAACCAGTCTTTTCTTTCCATGAAAATATTTATTAAAAAATAGACAAGATCATTTGAGCCTTACTGCTGTGCAAAGAAGATGACTCTGCTTCTTACCTATCCTTTGGGAATACTGGTCCGTCATCCAGATACGTTAGCTGTTTCAGTCGAACAGTAAGTGTTTTTCTATAATTAGTGATTTTCTTAATCACTTGATTTCCCATTAAATTCAGCACATGCTAGAGAAACACGGAAATAATTTTTAAAAGTTGAGCTGCAAACAAACTAACAATCCAACAAACAAAAAGCATACAGCTTGGGTATACACTACCTCTAACCTTTCAAAAACAAATGGTGAATAAAACAGTTGCTGTAAGTCATCTACAAAAGGGCTAATAATGTTTAATAACAATTATTTTAGATCAAGACCCATCACATGCTGGACTACTGGACAAAACAGCTTCGTAAGATTCACTCATACGCTTAATCCATACCCTCAGCTGTATTTGGCTTACCAAATTAGGCATTGTCTCCAGAACAGTTACAATATTTGGATCACTTAAGTTGTTGTGGGAAAGATCGAGAACAGAAATACTTGGACATTCTTGCAAGTGTTGTATGTCTTCCACTGTTTCTAATTTATTGTGAGCAATCTGCAGAGTGTTCAGGACTTTTAGACAAGCTGTCAGACAGAAAGAACACAATGAAAGGAGAGAGCCACTGCTTCACAGAAAACTGTCTGGAGCAAGTAGAATTTTCAGCATCACTGTACTGAAACATGGGTAGCTTTTTTCTCAAGTTTGTTGCTCTGCTTATACATATTTTTTGGCTATGCCTCCAAAGCTGCTTCCTTCACCTCAGGAAAAATAGTTATTTGTTTTAATACTGGTTGGTTGTTGTTAATTCATGTTTCAAACTAGTTAGTTACACAAAAACTTCTGTTTTAGATTACTCTTAATGTACATAAAAGAAAATAGTCCTTTAACAGATGTAAAAGATTTGGTATCACATCTGCAACTGCCAAAGCAAATTGTAACTGTAAAGTAAATGGTAAAACACAGATTGACAGCCTGTCTGCAAAACAGAGGAGTACCGAGATGGTATTAAGAAGTGAGGAAATACTAAACATTTCTGGGTCTTTGTATTTAAGTAGTAATTATGTGTTTTCTGTTTCCTCATATACTTAAACTGCAGAATTGTTAAACTAAAATACATAGATTTGATTTGATAGTCGCCTCGTGACCTTCAGTATTGGATACTGTGCAACATTTTAATATAAATAATAATAATTTAAAAATGAAACTACTGTCAAATCTTATGACTATGGGCTTCTTGTAACTCAAAACATCCTTCACCAGCAGTTCTTACAGAGATTCTCAATGGTCTTGACATAGTTGTTACTCAGATTGAGGGAATCCAGCTTTTGTAAGGATTCCAGGTTTTCGATTCTGTTAATTAAATTGAGCTGCAAGTAGAGGCAGCGCAACTCTGTCAGAGCCTCCAAATTCTCAATTTTTGTTAAGCCATTGCATTCCAGCCACAAACATCTCAGCCCAGTGTACTCTTCAAGATTCTCCAAGCGGTCAAATCCTGCAGAAAAAAAACAAAAAAGATGTTTCAAACTGAAACTGCATTGGCTAAAATTAAGTCATTCAAAGCATAAATTCATTAAGCCAGCGCTGCTGAAACAGCCTGTGAGAATACCTGCACTAAAACTGATGGTAAGACTTCTAGCAATTCAATTGGCCCATTAAGACAGAAAATGTACCTACAAGGTACCTATTCTGGTCTTCATCTTGTGGAGTGCTTAGATTCTTAAATACTGAGAAAATAGTAAACATAAAGTCAAATGTTGAAGGTAGGTTTAGCATGTTGTGTTTATTTAAAACCATTCACCATGCTGGATAATCGGAAAAACTGCTCAGAGATCAGAAAAGGGTGACCTGTTCTAGCAACTTTCAGTAGTATTTGAGAACATACAGCATGTGTTTACTGTTGTTTTGTCACTGCAGAAGTCCCAAAATTTGGTGCACAACTGTGTTACACAAAGACATTTAAAAATAAAACATATGAATTAGATCAGTATTTTAAGACATCTTTTCTAAAAAACAGTGCCTCTTGGTTCCTATCAATCTTTTGAATGACTCTACAAAATGAATCAGGCCAATCGCCTAAGGTTCACTTTTCTACCTTCATATTTGCTCGTTTTGTTTCACAATTACATTATTATATCAAATTAAATTATTTTTCTCATTTAAAACGATGTTTAAATACCTACCTCACGTCAGTGAGCCGTAAACTAGATTCCCTGCCAGGATACTATTTAGAGTGATACATCCATACAATCTTGTACACGGCTTACCTTTATAATGCAAGTAAAGCGTATCATTTAAGGATGGGGTCAAGTACAACTTGTGCTGCTTACAAATGTCTTGCAGAATCTTTTTTGTCATTCTAAAAGAATAATAGGAAGCAGAAGCAAAAAAAACTTCAGCACACATTCTATTATTTTTTATAAAACAGATTTCAATGCAAAATAATTAATATTTCTTCTATGCAAGAGAAATAGCTACAGCTTACAAGACGATACTCAGAGTGAAAAAGCTCTACATTTTTTTAGATTTGCTTTCCATTCATACCGGCCTGAAGTGTGTTACCAGGCCCTTCCTACTTCTGCTATAAAAAGAGAATGTAGGTAGGATGTTAGAGAGCTCATCTTCTTTAAAAAGAGCAGCATGAATTTTTGTTAGACTGGTTATTTCTTCCTCTGCCCTTTCCTCCATTTTTTGCTGCTTTGGTGCAACATCTCTGCTGGCATAGCCAATAAGCAACACCTAGGACCCCGAGTCACCATTTCAGACTAGAAAGTCAATAGTTATCAACCTAACATTTTGATGAAAGGCTGGCAGCCAGTAATATTTTAGCACACCTCTTTAACTGCCAGAGCAGAAAATGGGCAGCATCAATTAAATGGTAATTACTTAACATTCAGTTCTACTTACGAGAGCATTCATTCAAGTGAGAACCCAGAAAAGGATCCCAAGGGAAGCCCAGGGCTACAGATGTGCAGGGACAGGGATAAACTTGCGGTTGTTGCAGATCCTGCTCTAGAGAGCACTGCACTGATAGTTCCATGGAGGTGGCAGTCCTCCAGCACAAACTTTACAAAGAATAACTGGATACTGTTTTGGAGGCCAGTCTGCACAGCTAAACACAATTTTAGCATAGGGAATAAAATTGGGAACCCATCAAGAAGATATCTAGTAAAAACACTCTGAAGCTGAAAACACAGATTTCTTCCTGCATAGGAAGATCAGATTCTTTTAAAACAAAATTCCACCCGAAATATAACTTGTAGTAGATATCCTCCACCTAAAGAAATATTGCAATAGCATGATACTATATGATCCAAAATTATTTTCCACTTCCAAGTCCCTTATTAATAGACTGAACTTGGCATTTGTGGTCTTATTTGTAGGACTAAAACTTTTAACAGTAAGACTTCCTTGGCGAGCAAGTATTTTCAAAACAAACAACACCATGAGTAAAGGCAGTGAAGGTGTATCTTTCACCATGAACTCTGAGATTTCTCTGTTAGATACAGTCACTTACCATGCTGTAAACTTCAATATTGCTGAAGAACAAAGGTCTAATGCAGTAAACTGACTAGTTCTTGGGGCAATACCAAATATGATTGTCAGCCTGTTACTGCTCTACAGGCTGAAATAAACCTCTGGAGGAATGAAGGATTTATAAATGTTCAGCAAAATCTCTAAAACATACTGTTTTCTTGCACTGTGAGCCCAACTATGCTACTATACACAGTGTGCATGCGGTGTATTACTCTTGTTTCCATTGAGCTATTCAGAGCAGCATTTTATCAAATCATCAGCATCCTTAGGCAATTTACAGAACCATAAAATGTGTTCCTTAAGAATGCAAAGTATCATGAGCAGTTGTTGCACTTCTGACATCATTACTCACATTTATTTAATTTATTTTAATTTTAGTTTAATTTTGATGGCCTGATTAGCCTGGGATAATGAAGTTACTTATCCAACCTAGTTCCTGGTAACTCGGAGGGCCTCTGTCCCTTCACATACCTCTGCCAAAAATTGTCCTGACAGCTGTAATATTTACATTAAAATGAATTAATACAGTGCATCCTTTGAATTCATACTGAGAATTGGTCAAATCTGTCAAATCCCATAAGAGTTTGCAGAAATTTTTCCAAATCCACTAAAAACTACATCATACATTTAAAAGGTAGTTTGCTAAATAAAAAGAAGTACATATCAACAATTCCTGAGTTATTGATTAATCTCAAGTTCATCTTCAAAATCATTTTCCAGAGTTAAGGTTAACATGTAGAGAGTAAATATGTGGCGCTCCTACTGATTTCAGTGATGCCAGGATTTAAATAAAAACCATCAATAAACAATATTTTACCTCACACAGCCCCCTTTTTCTTCTGTCTTTTGACTGAATGAGCTGGTTACTGACTTGTGAACACCAACCAATTTTTGCTCATCCCGTTGATCTGCTCTGGATGTACAGTTGATGGCTTTCTGTTCAGTTTTAACATCTTTGTTGTAAGAAAACAAGTTGCAGTTCAGTATGGGTGGAGGAATATTGTGTCATGTTTCCAGTTAGTTCAGAAAAATACTGAAAAGCACTTGAATATGAATTTCAAGAAAATTTGTGTTCTAACCAAGATTTTTGCAGATCTTTTTAATTAAAATAAGCTTAACTTTCTATAGGAGACAAAATACAACAATAACTAGTAACAAAATAAACTGCTGAAATATTGCATTTGTTTACATATGAAAGTCAGGCAGAACACTTAAGTCTTAGGTATTATTATAATATACAGTGAAAATACGATACTGGCACCAATGTTTTAGGATCTTGGACATCCACTGTATATTACATGCAATTAACAATAATTAGAGCTAAACAAGACTGCTAAAGCCTAATTTACGTGCTAAGACTACTTTAACACGTACAGATAATGGTGTATCAGTCAACACAAAAACTGTCTGCTCTTCCACAAATTTACCTTTTTGTACTTTTTGGAGGGTGTCTCCAGTGCTATAGTTATTCAAGCTGTCTTTACTCTGCCTCTGGCCAATTGCATTTTCAATAGTTTTCTCTTCAGATTCCTGCTCAGAACCTTCTAGTTTTGCTTCTGGTCCTGACTCTTAAAAAAGAAACAAACAGGATGATTGTACACAAGTCACAAATACGACTGTAATTAAAACAATTAGAGGTAAGGCTGCATGTATGACTTCAATACATAAAGTAAGCTTCCAGAAAAAGGAAATTCAAGAAACAAGGAATAGCAGGAGGGGAAGGGCCAGTAAGCCTCAGTTACAGCAAGACCTTCAGTGAATTCAGCGTGGGAAGGAACAAACTTAACAACAGACTCTTATATACTCAACAACAGTTTTTTTTCCAGCTGCGTGGACTCAGCTCAATCACTGCTGCCCTGCGCCTCCCAGCAGTGCAGCTGCGAGAGCTCACCCCTGCTGACAGGACAGCCTTCACTCAGTGCGTGGGCAGCTTCATTTCCAGTGTTGCTCAGCGTCTCTCTCAACACCTCTGGCGCAATGACCGCTCCTGCGTGGCCTCTCTCCAAGTCTCTGCTGCGTGACAGCATTCTGAGATACGAGATTTAGACAAGCCGTGTCAGGTCGCCGCGCGGCTCACAGCGCTACTGCCAGACGCTACGACCAAAAGCTTTGGCAGGACCCCTCAGAGGCAGAGGAGATCGGAACGAGCAGATTACGGAGCGTGCGGCTGCTCAGCCGGCAGCACCGTACCGGCGCGGCCCGGACCCCCTCAGCACAGAGCAGCACAAAGGCTGACCGAGGCGCTGTTCTCCTCAGCGCCGGCCTGCAGCCCCGGGACGGCCCTCCATTACCTGCCCCCGCAGCTCAGCTCGTGCTGGCAGCAGGGAAGTGGGCCGGATGCCCAAGGCCAGCAGCCCGTCCGGGCCCGGCGGTCAGCAGAAGCCGTAGGCCGAGCGGGAAGGAAGGGACGGGGAGCTAAGCGGACTACCGGCTCCCGCCCCAACGGCCGCCGCTTCCATGGCAACGCCGTGCGCGCCCATAAGGCCCCGCGGCGGTCGGCGGCGCTCTGGTGACGGCGGCGCAGCGTCGGGGTGCGGGATCGCTGTGCTGCGACGCGGTAGGGCCGGGGCCGGGCGGGCCTTGAGGTCAGGGCTGGAGCAGCGCGCCAGGGCCGCTGCGCTGCGCGGGGACAAGGGGCGAGCGGCGGGCTGGGGTCACGAACCGGGACTAAAAAACATGGCATTTCCACGATTTCTTAGAGTCATCGAGGAGATCATCCAGTTCCAGCCCCCTGCCCTGGGCTGGGTGTCAACCCCCTGCTCAGGCTGCTCGGGGCCCCATACGTGGCCTTGTGCACCTCCAGGAATGAGGCACCCACAGCTTCACTGGGCAGCAGTGCCGGGGTCTCCCTGCTCTCTTAGTGAAGAATTTCTTCCTCGCATCTAAGCTAAATCTCCTGTCTTTTAGTTTAAAGCCATTCCCCTTTGTCCTACTGCTGTCTGCCCATACAGAAAGTTATGTGCTTATAAGGTCCTTTCAAGTTCTAGAGTACTGCAGCGAAGTCTCTCCAAAGCTTTCTCCTCTCCAGGCTGATCAAGCCTGTTACCCTCAATTTATCTTCACAGGAGAGACGCTCCAGCCTTCTGATTATCTCCATGATCTTCTCTGGACCTGCTCCAACTGCTCCATATCTCTCCTGTACTGGAGTTCCCAGGCATGGGTGTAGTAGTCCAGATGAGACATCATGAAGGCAGAGTAAAGGGGACAATCCCCTCCCTCACCCTGCTGTCACCCCTCTGTCACTGCAGTCCAGGATACCATTGGCTTTTCAGACTACAAGCACACACTGCTGGCTCATGTCCTACTTTTTGTGTACCAGGATCCCTGCATCCTTCTCAGCAGGGCTGTTCTCAATTATTTCTTCTTAGGTAGACGTACCTGGCATTGCCCTGGCCCAAATGCAACACCTTGCAATTGTCCTTGTTGAACGTCATTAGGTTCTTGTGTGCCCCCTTCCTGTGCCTGCCCAGGCTCTCTGGACAACATTGCTTCCTTCTATGGTGTCAGCTGTACCACTCAATGTCATCAGCAACTTGATAGAATCAAATTGATCTTACTCTGTATTTTGATATGTGTTGCTCATGTTCTTCATGGAAGCTTTGCCATATTTTCACATCTAGAGGATTTAATGTGGTTTTTCTAATGATAAAGGGATCATGTGTTTTTGTTGTTGTTTTTTTCTTCTAGAAAGTACTGCTGACTGATTCCTGAAATTTCCCCGCTGCTGTTATTTTTAGTGTTGCATCATCGTTGATAGGAATGCTGTGAAAACTATTTTCTAGTTCCTACTCCCTGGTGTAGGACAGTTGGAATTGCTAAATCTCAGAGGTTTGAAAAGGTTGAAGAGAAGATGATAATTGCCTGTGTCTTTTTCCTTTTAAGACTTCTGATCACCATGGCTGCAGTGGATCGCTTCAACCTGCTGTACAGAGAGATCAGTCGTTCCTGCAGTTTTTACGTTGAGGCCCTGGCTATAGTTGGAGCTTGGTACACAGTCAGAAAATGTCTGACTCTTGTGTTTGACACTTACAGTATGCTCAGGCTTCATGTTATTCCAAAGCTGGTTGGTGAGATTGATATTGTCAAGCGGTATGGAAGATGGGCAGTGGTCACTGGTAAGAGACTGAAGCAGTATATTTGTGTATGTTCATATGATTTGCTAGATGAGCTCAGAAGTTAGGGCCTGTATTAAGTCAGGTCACAGCTGCAAGGTGAAAACAAGTTAATTTGCCTGAGTAGTGATGATTGTTGAGCACCTTAGTAAATTCAGTTCCACAGGTGAACTCTGTGTGTTGACTGGGGAAGAATCCCAGACCAACTTTTCCCAGAAATTGCAGGGTGTCTCTCAAGCACATATGAGGACACATGAGGATCTGTAAGTAACCATGGAGCTGGCAGGCAGGCCTGGTTGACAGAGGTGCAACCGACATACTGTTTTTGCTTTGAGAGTTTCACATGCTCCCTTGCTCAATTTATCAGTTTAAGTCCCACACCTGACATCCTCTCCTTTTATTTAGCTTTTTGCTGTTGCCATAGACAGTATGAAACCTGTCTTGATGTGGGATTATAGAAGGTTGCTGCTGACAAGATTATCTTTGCTGGTCTCAAACCACAACACCATTATTGGTACCATGTAATCTTCAGAGAAGGGAATAAAGCTATAAAAGCACTGTTGTAATAGAAGACTGGACTGGTTCTGACTTTCACCCTGATACTTTTTTGTCTATTAATTACAGGTAGCACAGATGGTATCGGGAAGGCATATGCTGAAGAACTGGCCAAACGTGGTGTCAATATCATCTTAATCAGCCGAAGCAAAGAGAAGCTGGAGGCTGTATCTAGAAACATATCTGAAACCTATAAAGTGGAAACAGATTTCATAGTAGCTGACTTCAGTAAGGGGCGTGAGGCTTACCATGCCATTAAGGAGGGCCTGAAAGATAGAGAAATTGGGATTTTGGTGAATAATGTGGGACTGTTTTATACCTACCCAGATTATTTTACTAACCTGTCTGAGGATATGCTGTGGGACATGATCAACATAAATATTGCTTCTGCTAACATGATGGTGCATATTGTGTTGCCCGGCATGGTAGAGAAGAAGAAAGGTGCAATTGTGAATGTCTCATCTGCTTCCTGTTGTCAGCCAACACCAATGCTAACGATCTACGGAGCCTCTAAAGTAAGTTGGGCTGTGATGTTTTAATAATGTGCACTCAAGAGTAAAAGCATTATAGGCTGTGGGTTTTTTTTTTTTTTTTTTTTTTTTTTTTTTTGCATATCATGTGTTACGCTGCAAACTTTTCCTTACCAGTAATGGACTTTGAGCATAAGTCAGCTATGTGAATTATGTGTGGATTTCAGCATAATCATACTGCTAGGGGAAATGTCATTTACCTTGGAGGAATGACGTATGGGTCAGTAGTGGCAATTCTATGACCCACTGAAAGGCTGAAGAATTTGTTGGCTCTTCTGTAGCTGAACTATACAGAGATATCTCAGTGTACTTATGTACTTGCAGACTGATTATTTGGTAGCAAGAGGGATTATATTCATGCACAAGCTACCGCTACAATGAGAGCTGTGGCAAAACAAACAAAAAACCCCACACCACAGTGCTTCAGCTAATACTAAGTAGCTAGGTGGAGCAGGCAGCTTCTTACAGTGCTGTCTGTACAATATCTGGGGAGAAATGAAAAAGAACCCACAGACAATTATTCTTCCTCAGGAAAGCCAGTCAATAGTGAATAGGATGGGACAGGGAGGTGATGCTCAATATATGAATGTGCATGAGGATGCAGACTTTGGCAGCATAATTTGCCGCTTAATCCACAGAAGCAGGGGAAATAGTGGAAGGATCTCTTCCAGCTCCAGCTGTATCAACACAGCGGTTACTGCTTTGGGCAGATGGTTGCTGCCCTCTGCTGGAACCCAACCCTCAAACGGCCTCATTCCAAGATGCCTGTTGGGAGAATGTAGATGGTTTTACTCCAGGCAGAAAAAGTACTTGCTACGTATGACTTCTTGCAGATTTTCTTCAGCATGGAATCTGTCTTAAGATTCCTATCTCTCTGTTGCAGAGCATCTGTGCCTTGGTTATGCTAACTGTATGTAGACCTGAGCCATATCAATGAATGGAAAAGAGCAAAAACCAGAAGACTACTAAAAATTCTTACTTTATCTAGATCTAAGATCAGGTTTCAAGCATGGTCTATGAACTGTTACTTAAGCACTGAAAAGGGTACAAGCTGCTCTAGCTTCCTAAAGTTCCTTGTGCATGAACAGCCTAGAGTGTTTGTAGTGGTTGATTTCCTTGCTTTTGGTTTTGGTTGTTTTCACAAAGTAGGTGTAAGAGCATTTGTGGATGACGTTTTTCCAACAGTGGGTTGGAAACTGTGTTTTTGGAAGGCCATTTGGGAGCAGAAACCCTTTCACTCACCAATTGTCCTCTCTGAGAAATGGCCATGCAGGACAGCCCTATCTTCAGCATGGCATCAGTGTTGTTCTCCTGATGAGACTGAGCCAAGCTAATTTCTCATTCTGATTCAAAGATATTAGGCTAGTGCTTTCTTCATGTTTCAAGTATGCTACAGCTTTTCTGTAGTTTTAATAAAAATCTGCTCTGGGACTTCATTGTAAAAACAAAACTGAATATCTTTTTCTCTTTTTGTTTTTCTAGGCCTACTTGGACTATTTCAGTAGAGCACTGTATTACGAATATGCTTCAAAAGGAATTTTTGTTCAGAGTTTAACCCCATTTGTAATTGCTACAAAAATGGTGTCATGCAGCAGCGTTACATCGAAGAGATCTTTCTTTTTTCCTTCTGCTGAAGAGTATGCAAGTCATGCTATTTCTACCCTTGGGTTATCTAAAAGGACTCCTGGTTACTGGAAGCATTCAATAGAGGTAAAGGAATTCATCGAACTACTTAATGTTTGTCAGGAAAAAGAAAAGAAAAAAAAAAAAGAAAAAAAAAAAAAAAAAAAAAA